TTTTGCAAAAGCTTTTTAATTTGATGCAATCCCATTTGTCAGTTCTTGCTATTATTTCCTAAGCTATGAAGAAGAAACTTTTGAAAAGTAAACACATTGTGACATTCAGGTGTTAAGTGCCTCAAAAGAAACAATTTCTTTGTCCTGTTGAGGTCCGAAGGAGATGGGGGCCTCATTTGGCATAACATAATTAAGAGAGGAACTTGGGGCACACTGCTTGCATTCAAACCCAAGTTCTACCACCTACAATACTTGACCTTGGGCAAAGTACCTACTTTCCTCTGTGAACTGAGAATGACAATAGTGTAGTACTTACCTCAAGAAATGTTTGTTAGGATTAAAGAGCTCAATTCTTGCCGGTGAAGTGGCTCAAGTGGTAGAGTGCCTGCTTGGCAAGCATGAAGCCCTGAGTTCAAACCTCAGCACTGAGCTAATTGAGTTCTACTAGGCTTTCTTTTTGCCTTTTCTACTATTTGTAGACCCTTTGCCTAAGAATAATATGCACTAGATATTTAGCTAATTTCATATATTTAACAGATATTAAGCATCAACCATGGGCAAAAGCATTGTTTAGATTAAAAAAAAACAAAAAAATGCCACAGAGCCTGGCATGCTGGCATTCTGAGGCTGAAGCACAAGGATCAAGAGTTTGAGGCCAGCCTGGGCTACATAGTAAATGAAAAACAACAAAAAAGGGCTGGTCATAGTGGCTCATGCTTGTGGTCCTAGCTGCTTGGGAGGTGGAGACAGGAAGATCAACGTTTGAGGCCAGCTAGGCAAAAAGCAGCACCCTATCTCAAAATAACAAGCCAGGCATGATAGAGTATACCTGTAATTCCTGCTATTTGGGAGGCAGAGGTAGGAGGATCTCCATTTGAGGCCAGCCCAGGCAAAAGTGAGACCCCCCCCATCTGAAAAACTATCTAAACAAAAAGGGCTGAGAGCAATGGGTAAGAGTGCTCGTGTAGTCAGAGGCCCTAATTTTAATCTCTTAGTACCACTGTGAGCATGTGTGTGTGTGTGTGTGTGTGTGTGTGTGTGTGTGTGTATTTAAGTGACTATAAAGCTTTCTGTATGAAGCAAAGGAGTTACATATATTTGTGGGTCACAAAAAAAAATCACTCAGGCACCCAGGCCTTCTAGAATTGTTATCTACAATGTATCTACCTCTCTTACCTAATTTCATATGGATGGTCACAGGCAGGTTACAGAAAATAATACCACTTATTTAGTTTTAATTTTTGGAGAATAATATTTATTCTGCTTTTTCATTTATGCCATCATATTTATTTCCCTCCAACAAACTCTGAGCTAGGTTTTGTTACCATTTTATAGACCAGCTAACTAAGACACAGAGGCATTAATAAAACAACACTGCTGGTCAGGAGACAGCACCAAGAGTTAAGGCTGGAATCTTTACATGTCAGGTCTGTAAAATAGCTCATGATAGCAAGAGAAAGACTAACAAGTGACTTCTGTGAAGGCACCTGCATGGTAACCAATCACGTGCATGAACTTGCTGATCACTTAGAGGTTCTGCCATTCCCACCAGAGTTTAAATCTCTTGCAGGGAAAATGGGGAACTGGGAGGAAGGAAAAATAGGCAGGTAGAGGGATAGGAGGAGAAAAGAGCTGTCTAAATATGAAAGAATCAGAGAAGGCCAGGGCTACAAACAATAACATCTGGTTTAGACTATTTAAAGGATGAAGAAACTGAGACCCAAGGAAGGAAATGTCTCGTCCAGAATTACCTAGGAACTTAGTAACTTAGAAGGGTCTGGAACCATGCTATTCAATGTGGTAGCCTCTGGCACATGTGGCTGTGGAGCCCTTGACATGCAGCTAGTCTGAACTGAGATATACTGTAAGTGTAAAATATGCATGGGATTTCAAGGTTGCATGTGGAAAAATACTAAAGGATCACTTCAGTAGCTTTCTTTTTTCTTTCTTTCTTTTTTTTTTTTGTGGTACTGGGGTTTGAACTCAGGGCCTACACCTTGAGCCACTCCACCAGTTCTTTTTCGTGATGGGTGTTTTCAAGATAGGGTCTCACAAACTATTTGCCTGGGTTGGCTTTGAACCGCAGTGCTCCTGATCACTGCCTCCTGAGTAGCTAGGATTACAGGTTTGAGCCACCAGTGTCTGGCTTTCAGTAGTTTTTCATATTGACTACATCTTGAAATGACAACATCTTGGCTATATCTAATAATACAAACATTAATTCCATCTGTTCCTTTTACTTTTTTAAAAATGTGGCTACTAGAAAATGTTAACTTACATATATGGTTCACATATTTCTGGTTAGAAATCTGACCCCTGAGTGTCACTACTATTTCCCAAAGCATCTTCTAATGCACTTACCGCCTATTCATGGGTTGCTGAGGGGAGATCCAGTTCAAATCTAACTTAAGACAAAAGCACAGTAATGGCTAACAGTGCTGGCGGGTTATATAACAGGTTGAGTTCTATCATATACTCCTAGAATGGTGGTTCTTAACCCTACCAGCTCTGTGGTTCCCTTTTAATAACCGTTTTAATAATGCCTTCTTTCCAACTTGAAATAAAGTTTATATATGATGTAATATAATTAAAATATACATTCAAGAAATTATAGTGTCTTAATAACAACAGAAAGAAGAAATAAAAGGAAATCCTGTGTAATAAAATTAATATAGTTTCAGTATGTTCGAAAACATGTGTGGGTTCTTTTACTAGGACCTGTGAACATGGGCTACGTTTGCACCAAAACTGTGAAGAAGGCAGCCCGGGTCACCGTCAAGAAGTACTTGTAGTACACACCTGGGCAGCGACTTCCACACCAACAAGCGTGTGTATGAGACTGCCATTCTCTCCAGCAAGAAGCTCCAGAATAAGAAAGCAGGCTATGTCACGCATCTGAGGAAGCGGATTTAGAGAGACCCTGTGACGGGTATCCATGGAGCTGCAGGAGGAGGGGAGAGAAAGGAGAATGAGTGTGTTCCTGAGGTCTTGGCTTGATCAGGAGGACTCTAAAGTTGATCCTGACACTGGAGAAATGCTGAAGCTTTTGGGCAGGTCTCTCCAACCTATAGATCACTCAGCCAAGGTGAGAAGAATTTCAAAACAGCACATGGAGCCATTTAAGTCTTTCTGCCGTGCTGTAATATTTTAATATTTTTAATAAGCCCTGGACACTCATGCACACATGGTTTTGCCTCAGATAGGACATTACAAATGCGTTTTGAACACCTGTGACAGGGCAGGCAGAGTGCCTGGCTAGCAAGTGTGAGGCCCTGAGTTCAAACCCCTGTACTGCCAAAAAAAAAAAGAATCCTTGAACACTGTGACACTGCTGTAGATGATACAGTTCTCCAAAATGCTATCACAATAAATTCTGCACTACAAGAAAATTACAATCTTCCTTCCATTTACATGATAGTTACAGTCTTTAAAAACTCAGCACATGTTGCAATCCTGCAAAATTTTTTATAAATAAGACACAGGTGCAAGGATCAGATTATTATAACCAGTTTGTTTACCTACATGAATGTTCAGTGGGACATTTGAGAGCTTGCTTGGAGGTTCCAGCAGGGGAGTGCAGCTACTTGTATACCCTTGACCCAAGAACAGCCCCGGTCCTCTTCCACCCACTGTGCAGCTTCAGAAGGGACAAACATGGAGCGGTGAGGGAGGAAGGGGACACCTCCTAGCCAGATCAGCCAAACTGACCCTGGCGATCAATGGGGTGACAGATGTTGCAGTCAGATCACCCTCACATCCTCAGTGGGACATTTGAAAGCTGTGTAGGATCAGGACAGAGTTTTCTTGTATGATACTATATTGTAATGTGCACGACACTCACCATCCTCTCCCCCCATGATTTGACCCAAAAAAACTGCCCCTGCACGTTTCCAAATTGCTCCCAAGGGATGGTGCTATCTTGTTTGGGAGCCCACTGTGGTCTTTTGAAGACTCTGCCTTCCCTCTAGCTCGCCTTGTGGTGTTCTCTCACCAGGCCTTAGCTGCCCTGGCCTTCCCAGTTTTCTTCTTTGCCGGTCTCTTTCCTTCCTTTCTCATTACCTCCAAGTGTTCTCTGTGTCTGAAAAACTTACGATTTAGGTCTGGATAACGCTTACTGGATCTCATTCCAGTAAAAAACTAATTTATTTTTCTGCTTTGGTTTTCCATTGGATTCAGTACCTTTCTGCAATGGTACTCTTCGTGGTTTATGATTTCTACTTAGGTCTTTTTTAGACAAGGTCTCGCTCACTATTTTAGCCCAGGCTGGCCTCAAACTCGAGATTCTGCCTCACCCACCTGAGCGCTGGAATTATAGGATGCACTACCATTCCCAACTCCTACCTAAGTTTGTCAGTGCGTGTTTATTGCCAGTGTCCCTCAACTCTCACTGCCTGAGGGCAGGGCCATGTCCATCTCTGTCCACCACTTGTTTACCCAGTGCAGTTAACTCATTGAGCGCCTGGAACTTAGCAGGCAAACAAACATAACTTAAGCAGCTGCATGCACGGTGGGTTGAGGAGCCGATTGGGAGAAGCGTGTTCCCTGAAGGTGGTTCCTTCGCCCCCAGAGCTGAAGCTATGGGGCACCTCTGGCACAGTCCAGGCTCGCCAGCCTAGGCGTCGGGAGAAGCCGGCTTGCTGCTTGGGGGCGGGCGGAGCTCCGAGCCGAGCCGAGCCGAGCCGAGCCGAGCGACCATAGAGAGGGCGCGGCCGGAGCGAGCGGCCGGATGCGGTCACCATAGAGACGGCTGACTGACAGGCGGCGGAAGAGGAAGCCGCGGGCCGGGTCGTGAGGTGGCAGCGGCTGCAGCGGCGGACCCGGCGCCTTCGCGGCCACCGGGGTCTGTTCCCCCTTCCCGGTTCGTGCCGGTCGCCAGGCGCGTGCGGGGTGCCGCTCCCTTCCCGGCCCGCACACGGGGCCTGGGGTCCCATCACCCTCTAACTCGGCCTCCGCCGTGCCGGACCGCGCTGCAGGGGCCTCTAGCCGTGCGGCTTGGGCGTCCCTCGGCGTCCCGCGACTCCCCGTCCGCCCGCCGCCAGCTCGGCTCGCAGAACCAACCAGCTGGACCCCCGCCCCTCCTCTGCGGCCGCGGGACGTAGGCGATTGATTTCTGTTTGGGGACGAGAGTTACAGACTCTGGGTCTTCCTTCCAGGGCTGGAATTGGGCCGTGGTCGCCGAGAGGTCGAGCAGGGTTTGTTGACCCAGCCAGGGGTCCTCTCGGAAGGCAGCGAGCTCCTGCTGGCCTTCGCAGACCCCTGCGCTGCCTAACTGCTGCTCGTCTCACGGGTTGCTTTTGGTGTGTTCGGTTTGGTCTCGGGAGCCCTGGTAAAGGCAGGCAGAGAATCGCTTGCCTACTGCAAGAGAGCCTGGTGATTCGCCTGCTGTCTGCCCTCAGCAGCTGGGATTTGGAGAGGAAGGCTCTGCAAAATGGCTCCATCAGCCATTGCGCTCTTCTGAGAGGCCGGCAGTGCTGAGTCACCAAGTCTGTCCACCTCATTTGGGTGGGCAGGCTTGTTTGCACCATGCATGGCTGCTGATCGCATCGTTGCGTTTGCTTGACACTCGGGAGCAGGGTGGAAGGAGGCCCTGGCTCCTTCCCTAGTGGCGACCTGTAGTGCTAGGTCAGCTGTCCGAGTCTGAGTGGGCATTGGTGCTAGGACCAGGACGTCCTCAGGAAAGGGCATCTGAGGCAGGGTCCTCTGGTTGGGCTGTTTGTATGGATCGTGTACCCCTTCTTTATCTGCTGCAGCTGACTCTTGACTCAGGCCCAGACTGCAGATGAGTGTGGTCCTTTCTGGGTTAGGTTTGGCCTTATTGAGTTTTGTTTCCCTCTTTACCAGAAGACAGATTAAGCCCAGTAGTGCTGTGAAGTCATTCAAATACTCATTCCTGTTTGGGCTGAGGTGTGAATCCAGAACCTTGAAAATTGAAGACCAGGCAGAGGGAGTTGTGAAGACAGCATAGTCAATCTTCCTGGGGATGCTGGGCCTGGATGCCAACACACTATACTCTCTTGCTGACCTTGTTGACCCCAGGTTCCCTGGTTAAAACTGCCATCCTACTTCTGGCCTGGGCCCATCCACCCATTGATCCTTGAGGCTGTGCCCCTTGGGGCACCCATATGGCAGGGCCTGCCGCCATGCGACTGAGCTCCCTGTTGGCTTTGCTGCGACCAGCGCTGCCCCTCATCTTAGGGCTGTCTCTGGGATGCAGCCTGAGCCTCCTTCGGGTTTCCTGGATCCAGGGTGAGGGGGAAGATCCCTGTGTAGAGGCTGTTGGGGAGCCAGGAGGACCACAGAATCCAGACTCAAAAACTCGGATAGACCAAAGCGACGAAGACTTCAAACCCCGGATTGTCCCTTACTACAGAGATCCCAACAAGCCCTACAAGAAGGTGCTCAGGTGAGGGTTCTTTGGGTGTGTAGTCCCTGGACACTGGCCTGCAGCTTAGGGCTGCTGTATGTCCCTGCCTCTGCCTTTCCATTGGTCATCAGTGTTAGATTCCTTGGAGCAATTCTTTGTGTCTTATTTTCCACCTTGGTTTGTTTTTTTCCCTCCTCAGGTTTAAGAAAGTCTCACATCCATTGGTATTAAATTAGTGTCCACTGTTCTTAAACAGGACAGGAGCACACAAACCCATTGAATTCATCCTGAGTAGACCCTCCACCCATTCCAGTGCCACCTACTCCGTGGATACTCACCGCAGTAGCTAATTAATATTGATGAGGAAGGAGTTCTCTTTTTTCACCCCAGCACTCTCATTCCCTGGGGGGTCGGCTCCCTAAACACTCTGGAGTTGACCCCCTCCTGCTGGTCTCTTCACAGAACTCGGTACATCCAGACAGAGTTGGGCTCTCGTGAGCGGTTGCTGGTGGCTGTCCTGACTTCCCGAGCCACCCTGTCCACTCTGGCTGTGGCTGTTAACCGCACAGTGGCCCACCACTTCCCTCGGTTACTCTACTTCACTGGGCAGCGAGGGGCCCGGGCTCCTGCAGGAATGCAGGTGGTGTCTCATGGGGATGAGCGGCCTGCCTGGCTCATGTCAGAGACCCTGCGTCACCTTCACACACACTTTGGGGCCGACTATGACTGGTTCTTCATCATGCAAGATGACACATATGTGCAGGCCCCCCGCCTGGCAGCCCTGGCTGGCCACCTCAGCATCAACCAAGATTTGTACTTGGGCCGGGCAGAGGAGTTCATTGGTGCAGGCGAGCAGGCCCGGTACTGCCATGGGGGCTTTGGCTATCTTCTGTCACGGAGTCTCCTGCTTCGCTTGCGGCCCCATCTGGATGGCTGCCGAGGAGACATTCTCAGTGCCCGACCTGACGAGTGGCTTGGCCGCTGCCTCATCGACTCTCTGGGCATCGGCTGTGTCTCACAGCACCAGGTGACAGCCCCTTCAAGTCAGCTGTAGCTCCTAACAAGTTGGTAGTGACTAAGGGGTCACTGCTAGGTGCTAGAGGCCATCCTTTTGTCCTTCTTAGACACTGGCCTGCCCCTTCAGCATTCTCTCACACACCTTTGGCATTCTTAAAACCCTGGCATCATCAAAAGTGTGTCTTGGGCTGATGGAGTGGCTCAAGTGGTAGCATGCCTGCCTAGCAAGCACAGAGCTCTGAGTTCAAACCCCAGTACTGCCAAGAAGAAAAAAGTGTGTCTTGTCAGGGACCTGAGCAAGACAGAAAGGTACCCCCCAACTCAACAGCCTTCCTCCCTGCCTCCCTCCCATAACCTCTGCACCCCACCACTGTGCACATCACAGTGAGGGACATAGTCACCAAAGAAGAGAGCCCAGATATCCCTTTTCTAGCCTAGAGAGCAGCTCTGCTGTACTAGAGGAGGGCAGAGGAGCCCCGAGGCAGGTCATCCTCCAAAACAGCATATGGATAGGTCTTTTACTCGTGGCTTTCATCCTTTGAGGAAGTGGGACTCTGGGGGAGAGGGTATCCCTAGTTGTCTACTTACTTTCACATTCCCAAAACGTGAGCAGTGAAAGTAAGAACCAAAGCTAGGGGCGCCTCTCCCCCACCCCCTTTCCATGCATTCTAAAGCAGCAGTGGGAACAGGTGGAAGTGCTTTGGGACAGGCAGCCTTTGGTATGTAGCACCGACTGTTCTGATTGGTCTCTCTAGGGGCAGCAGTATCGCTCCTTTGAACTAGCCAAGAATAGGGACCCTGAGAAGGAGGGGAGCTTGGCGTTCCTGAATGCCTTTGCTGTGCACCCTGTTTCTGAGGGCACCCTCATGTATCGGCTTCACAAACGCTTCAGTGCTCTGGAGTTGGAACGGGCGTACAGCGAAATAGAACAACTGCAGGTGAGCTGAGGCAGCAAAATGGGTGAGGGCTCCTAGAGGGATGGAGGAGCCTGAGGTGTCCAGGCTTTCAGGGAGCAGGTAACTGAGTGAGTTGGGGATGGGCTGGGCTCCCTATGATGGCAGGGTAGAAAGGGGCTGACCATGCCTAAATTTCAAACTATGGGGACAAGGGTCCTCGGGGTCCAGGACAATCACAAGGTAAACTCCTGAGTGGCTTGAATGCAATTAAGCATTTGCAGGTTTACTACCAAGAACCAGGAAGTTCAGTGTGGTGTTCAGGCAGACCATTTTAGCTCCTCTCCAATAGTGCCGCTCCATCACAGAGCCAGAAATTCAGAAATTCTTGAGCTCAGGAACTGTCCTAAGCAGGCCCAAGGGGAGAAGGGAGAGGAATTCTTTGGCTGGTGTGGGGGTCATCATCGGTGGGGTATCAGTGAGAACAAGGGTCCAGTCATAAAGAGGATGTGAGTCCTTTGGGCACGGGAGAGAAGGGTTGTTTGTATTTCAAGATATCTTTGGCTATGCAAAGCATATTAGCCCCCTCATCCCACATGTCACTTGTGTAAGGTGGCCATCCTTCATCTTCCTTCTGCATCTGAGCTGAGGAGTATAACATGCAAGGGACTGGGTGATTAGCCAGAGGTGGGATCTCAGGGCTGGCACTAACATTAGTTGCATTCCCTCCAATCTAGGCTCAGATCCGGAATCTGACGGTGCTGACCCCTGAGGGGGAGGCAGGACTGAGCTGGCCTGTTGGGCTCCCAGCCCCTTTTACACCACACTCTCGCTTTGAGGTGCTGGGCTGGGACTACTTCACAGAGCAGCACTCCTTCTCCTGTGTAGATGGGGCTCCCAAGTGCCCACTGCAGGGAGCTAGCAGGGCAGACGTGGGCGATGCTGTGGACACTGCTCTGGAGCAGCTCAATCGACGCTATCAGCCCCGCCTGCGCTTCCAGAAGCAACGGCTTCTCAATGGCTACCGGCGCTTTGACCCAGCTCGGGGCATGGAGTACACCTTGGACTTGCTGTTGGAAGCTGTGACTCAGCGTGGGCATCGGCGGGCTCTGGCCCGGAGGGTCAGCCTACTGCGGCCCCTGAGCCGGGTGGAAATCTTGCCTATGCCCTATGTCACTGAGGCCACCCGAGTGCAGCTAGTGCTGCCGCTCTTGGTGGTTGAAGCTACTGCAGCCCTGGCTTTCCTTGAGGCCTTTGCAGCCAGTGTCCTGGAGCCTCGAGAGCATGTGCTGCTCACCCTGGTACTGGTCTATGGGCCCCGGGAAGGTGGCCGTGGGGCCCCAGACCCCTTTCTTGGGGTGAAGGCTGCAGCAGCTGAATTAGAGCGACGGTATCCTGGGGCGAGGCTGGCCTGGCTCGCTGTGCGAGCGGAGGCCCCTTCCCAAGTGCGGCTCATGGACGTGGTCTCCAAGAAGCACCCCGTGGACACTCTCTTTTTCCTCACCACTGTCTGGACGAGGCCTGGGCCCGAAGTCCTCAACCGCTGCCGCATGAATGCCATCTCGGGCTGGCAGGCCTTCTTTCCAGTCCACTTCCAGGAGTTCAACCCTGCTCTGTCACCACAGAGACCACCCCCGGGCCCTGCAGGGGCTGGCCCTGATCCCCCATCCCCTCCTGGTGCAGACCCTTCCCGGGGGGCCCCTGTTGGGGGCAGATTTGACCGGCAGGCATCTGCAGAGGGTTGCTTCTACAATGCTGACTACCTGGCGACCCGCGCCCGTCTGGCTGGTGAACTGGCAGGCCAGGAAGAGGAGGAAGCCCTGGAGGGGCTGGAGGTGATGGATGTTTTCCTCCGGTTCTCAGGGCTCCACCTCTTTCGAGCCGTAGAGCCAGGGCTGGTGCAGAAGTTTTCTGTGCGGGACTGCAGTCCTCGGCTGAGTGAGGACCTCTACCACCGCTGCCGCCTCAGCAACCTGGAGGGTCTGGGGGGCCGTGCACAGCTGGCCATGGCTCTGTTTGAGCAGGAGCAGGCAAACAGCACTTAGCACCCCCTCATGGGGCCCTACCCTCCTGATTTCTTCTGTCTGCCTTAGCCCCAGGACGGGCAAGGCAAGATGATGGGTGGATGGAGGCTTGTCACTGTATTTTTTTATCAAGAAAATGTTATTAAAAATATCTTCTGCAAAACTGTTTTTAGGTCTAGGGAAAATGGGGTAAGGAGAAATATTCAAGGGAGAGGTGTAGGGAATTTGTCCACAGGGACCCCTGCCTTATTCCTCCCTCACCCTCTTTTCCTTCCTCCCTTCCCAGTTTCCAATCACCACAAGACAGCTGTCAGACAAATGACCTTTAATCCAGTCCTCCCCAACCCCCAAGGCACAGAGGAGTGAGGCCAAGTGGGGAGCAGGGCGCTGGCTGGTCCACAGTGGTGCTTAATCGAGGGCTTCTAGGTGTTGCGCACAACCAGTGACTGCTCCAGCTCCTGCCTGCGCTGCTGGATCTTTAGAGGAAGTGGGAGCAGTAACAGGGTTAGAGTGTTCCTGGTGAGTGGCCAGGGCAGCCCACCCCCCTGGCACCCTTGCCCTGGAAGAGTCTGGGAGCCAGGAGGCCACTGCATGGGGAGGTGGGGACAGTAGATGAGTCAGTGGGGGTGCAGAATGAGAAGAAAGTTCTGTTGGATTGGAGAAGGGGAAGTCTCACATGCTAGCCACCCCCTTCCTACCTTGCAGTAGAAGTAGCGGCTGACTGCTTCCTGGGACCAAGGCTGGTGGTAGAATTCAGCCCGGCGCTCCTCTTCGGGGTTGCCAGCCACATCTGTCATCACCTGGGAGAGGGAGCATGGGGTCAGGCCTGATTCCCCACAGCCTCACCTGCCCTGGTGACTAATGTTTAGTCTTTCCCATGTGCTTGTCTCCACTCCAGTGCTCCCTGAGTCTCCCTCTTCACCTTAAGGTCCCGGCTCTGGGAGCGGAGCAGGTCTTGGACATAGCCTTTGGGGTCTCTGGAGAAGCTTAGCATGAAGTCTCTCTGGATCTTGAGCTGGTTTATGGACTCAATCGTCTCATGGATCTGCAGGTAGAAAGACACGCTTCCCATTTGGCTTTGTGATGTGGGCAAGGAAGGGAAGAGAAGAGGGTGGGGAGGGAGGGAGGGAGGGAGGCAGTGAAGGGGGAAGGAAGGGGGCTCCCCTATGAAGGACTGTCTCTAAGAGTCCCTGCTTGTAGCAAAGGAGGGATGGGTAGAGCTAAATTGGAAATAAGATTGGGAAGGATCACATGTCCCTTGTCTCTTCATAGGCCCATGCTCTGATCTAAGTGTGCTCTGTCCTCTCTGGGTTAATGTCCCACTCCAACTCTGGGCTCGGGCCCCACCTTACTGTCCAGAGCACTGATCTCCTGCTGGTTGGCCGTGGACAGGAGGAAGCTGCTCATCTGCCCTTTCAGCGGCTCCTCCACCTCCACGTCAATGTCGTAGCACGCCGTCTTCTTCTGATCTGATGGGTCCACGCTGCCAGGGAAGTCCAGAACTTGGTGTCCATGATACCCCCACAGGGGCCCAGGACCCCAAGCTAGGGTGGGTGCAACAGGGAGGAAAAGGAGTGGGGAATGCAGGAATGGGCCAATTCCCTGGTCTGAGGAACAAGCTGGGGCCACCTCACCTGATGACATGATTGATGACAATTGGGTCAGGGGGCAATAACAGGGCTGTGAGGCGCTGGGGAATCTCAGAAAACTTCAGCCGAGGACAGTCAAAAATCTGAAGCAGGACAGTTGAGGAGAGGGAGATCACTCTTTGTGTGAAGAGGTGGTAACTACAATTCTAGATTCTCCCATTCTGGAAAAGCCACAAGAAGCTGACAGCAAGTCAGATTCCTGAGTGTTCATGGGGATGGGATAGGGGTGGATCCTGTGTCTGCCTGCTTGGGTGTGAGTCCTGCTGCTGCCATCACAGTCTGCAACATTGAGCAAGGTACTTGACACCTCAGGCCCCAGTGGCTTTGTCTCTGGAATGGGGTTATTAATAATCCCTGTGGCGTGAGGTTGTGATGAGAATTCAGTGAATTGATACATGTAAAGTGCCTGGAACAAGGCCTAGCACCTGGTAAGTGCACAATAAATATCAACTGCTATTTCTATTTGGATTTATCCACCATGTTTATTTTAAAAGGCATTAATAGTAACATTCTCTACTTTGGTAGAGTATTGCCAAATCTTTTTGCAGCCATTTGAGGTTTTTTTTTTTTTTTTTAGCTGCCCAATAGATTAGATGGTACAGCTTTCATCACCTCAGTTCAAAATGAAACAAGGTGAAAAATAGCAAGGTAATTTACCCCAAGTCTAGAGCCAGGATTAGAACCCCACCTTCTAGCAAGTGCAAGGATACTATATTCCAGAAGGCTATGGGCCTTCCAGTAGGGTTCCAGATCTTCCCAACCTGGGGAAGCTAAATGGATTGACTGTGGCTCCGAGCCAATCCATGGCAGTGCCTGGACTAGACTCTGGCATCTTGACTCCAAAGCCCTGGCTGTGACAGGTTCTGATGTTTGGGAGGAGCAGTGTTGACTTTGGAGACTTTGCTCCTGCTGGAGCACTCCACCTGCTCCCCAGATCCCTGGGTTCAGGAGAGGTTACCTGCTGGAAATATTTGTCTCCATTGATGTATTCCTTGTCGTGGGAGTCCTGCAGCCTATTGGTCTTCACATACTGCCACAGGGCCTGGACAATGGCTGAGCGGCTCTGAGTGTGCAACCCTAGCAGCCGGGCCAGGCGGGGGTCCAGTTTGAACTGGGGAGGCTGGGAAAAGGTGACCAGGATAATTAGACCAAAGGGAAGGAATGAGAAAAGCTCAACCAGGCAGTTTGGGATTGGGGGGGCCAATGTGATTAGGCCCTAGGAAACATGCTTTTGTTTCCTAGTACAAGGAGGGGTAGGGAGGAGAATGGGATCTCAGGATGCATCTGCGTGTCTGTGTGGCATCTTTGGGGTGGGGGCAGGCACGACAGACCTGGTAATCCAGCATGAGAAGTAGCGTGCAGCGCACACTTAGGTCACCTGGCCTCTTCACCTGGAACCCATCCGTCTCCTGGGTTGTGGGTGTCCGGTGCCACTGTCCAGGGGCAAGTGCTGGGTCAGCCACAGACCCATCTGGACTGGTGGGGCCTAGGACCCTAGGGTGGTGCTCAATCTCCCACGTCTGTGCAGGTTCTTCAGGGCCTTGGGCCTGTCAGGGGTAGTGATTCAAGGGTGTCTGTCTTACCTCAACAAGGTGGTTGTCAGGGCCATAAAGGTCTTTGTCCAGCTCTATGACCAAACTCTTGAAGAAGGAAGAGAACTTCCGTTTCTGCTTGCTGGGCTGTGGGAAAGGAACAGGGACTGTGGGGGCAGAACAGGGACTGTAGGTCCAGGCAGCCTGTCCCCAGGCCGACCCACGCCAGCCAGGACTGCTCCCCAACCCTTGGTGCAGACAGCTAGTTCTGTTCCTGACTCAGCCCATACCCACCCCAGGACACCTGGAGAGACCTGGGCCAGGACGTACATCATCCAGGAGCTTCCCCTCCACCCGCAGCTCCCAGGAGGCAATGCTGCCATCAGAATCCTCGGCATCAGGCTTCGCAGGGTTAAAAGTATTGGAGATATAAAGACGCAGCTTCCGCTTTTGCTGTAGAAATAAAGAGTGTAGTACAGAACGAAGGCTGTGCACCTCATCCCGGGGCCACCCTGCTTCCTCCTGGACACAGCACTCTAAGCTCTCTTCTACCCCCACACTAAGGCACCTTCATGGGCCTCTTCAGGGCCTCCTGGATGTCCACCCGCTTCCGCATGATGGTTTGATCCAGTTTCCTCTCAAATGCTAGGAGGTCCATATAAGCCTGGGACTCGGGGACCAGCTCCCGAATCTGGAGGAGGAGCAAGGCAAAAGTAGAGTTCAGTCAATTTTGCGATGCAGGCTGTGCTCCTATTCAGTGATCCCAGGGCACAAAGGATGTGGAGATGCGCTGTCTGGCTTTAGGGTATGGAATTTTGAAAGAAGAGATAGTACCGCTTCCCAGGATTATATTATTTGACTTCCTTGTATAGGAACAAAAATTGCCTCTCCCTGCGTCTCATCACCAGGGGAGGAGATGGCCACTGGGTACAAGCCCAGCAGGTACAAGTGGCAAGTGCCTAACCTCATCTTGTTACTTCCCTTGTCTAATGGCTACCCTCGGATCCCTGCAAAGTGCCGAGGGACTCTGGGGTCCCTGAGACAGTAGGGGTGATAATCATTGCTTATCTCGCCCCTGGCATCTGTCTGACCCTTTATGATGCCCAGGACCTCCTGCCACCTTCTGTTCCCTTCACCTGGGCAGCCTCTTGTCCCTTCTCAGTCCCATCTCTTTATGTCTTCAGACTGCTGATATTCAAAGCTCAACCTCAGGCCCCATGTCCTGCCCCCATGGCTTGCTTCTTCCCTCTGCCTCTTCCCACTCTCTGGCCTGGGGAGCTCCACTTCTTAATCAGCTTTTTAAACAAAAAGTGAAAGTGCCTGTGATGCTGAAGCGCACTCCTAAGGGGGAGGGGAAGGCGGAGCAGCAGAGGGTGGGGGCTAGCTGGGGGCTGCTGTGGAAGGCACTCACCCTTTGAGGGAGGATTTTGTCAGCCATCTTCCTCCTCTTGGCACTGTACATTTTTAAAAGAAAAAACCAGGTTACCATGGCAACAGATCTGGGAGTAACGAGGCCACCTGCTAAATTATCCCGACATCTCCGCCTGCCTGGCTGGGGTTCCCAGAGCCCGCTTGTCTGCCCGCCTGAGGGGCTACGATGCTGGTGGTGAGCTGGTATTCTGTCCTCCCTTAGGGAGGGGGTGCCTGGTCCATTCTCTGGCCTGGCGTCCCCCTTCTATACCACCACATCCTCAGAGTCAGAGAAATTCAGACTTCAGAGGAACTGGGGGCGGGGAGGTGCTGCCAAAAGATGGGAGCTGCAGAAGTGTTCCAGAGAAGCTGGGGAGTGGGGAGCACAGAGAAGAGAGAGGAGAGGATAGGTTTTGGGGACCTGCCTTTTCAGCCAAGTGGAAGGTGGAAGTCCAAGAGAGTCTGAGCTCAGAGAGAGGGAGAGACCACTTCTCCACCCCCCCCCGCCCCCATTCCCCAATCCCTGGAGAAGGAGGTGAGATGTGAATGTGGTGGGACTTGCATCCCTGCCACTCTG